TTTCCAGTAACACCACATGCATGGCACAGTTAATCTGTGAGTTTGATAAAATTCCCATACATAAGAGCTGACTGTAGTGAGTACCCACTTTTGCCTACTTACGGCTGCTTTTTTTGAGGGGAGGGAAGGTTAAGGAAAGGAAGAATATTAGCACAGGTCTTCTATGACTCATGTTTGATGTTCTAACGGTTTGATGTTCAACACCAGTTTAGTTTAACGGGTGTTAGAAGGCAGTGTCCTGCATCCGGAAGAAGAATATTAGACAAAAGATCCTTGCATGCGGCTATGGTGCTGATCTTAGCACAAGAAATGGAAACCATCACAACTGAGTTAGAATGGTGTGGCATTCCATGCTTACTGACAATCCCAAGGCAGACCAGTGTCTGCACAGGTGGCCCTGGGCCAAGTCAAAGAACAACTTCCTCAGGACACCTGAAAAGTATTTCACACCCAAAACATGGTGATGACCAAGGAGAAGGTGGAAAATCTAGGACCGGAACAAACTTGACCAACGTTTAAATGCTATTAAACATAGAGCTAAGTGCTTGCACTGTACCTCATCAACTCCGTGAGCTCTTTGAATGACGGAATGCTGCTCAGATCCTCTTCCACTGAGATATCCCTGTAACAAGAACAAATCTAATCATCACGTATCACAAAAAGAGAATTGTCGGCGTTTCTTCAGCAGTGAGCTGGAGGACTACTTTCTTATTACCTGATAGTGCTCACAGCCTCCTCGTGGTAGTAACAGCGAACTTTATTAACCGTGTCTGCCTGCTGTGGTAAATCTTTTATGATCTTCACAAAAGCACATGGGAAAATCCCAGTGACACCACCAGCTGTTCCCTGGGATGATAGGACGTGTTAGAATGAAGAAAACCGTGCCGTTTTGGCCACATACATGAGGTCTGGAATTCAATTAATTTCCATGGAAACAACCTACTATAATCAAGAAAAGAAAGGCAATGTAAGTGACCTGACGGCATCCCTACAAAAAGATGATACAATTGTGCAGTCCAATGCAAGGCCGGGGAGTGAAAGGGTGTGTAAAGATGCAAGTCAGATGGTTATCAAGGAAGGCTGTGGTGTTTGAGCAAGCAGAGATAGCCTATCAGCAAACACACAGTATGTTCTCCTCATCCTTTTTCAGAACGCGGCTGCATTGCCCAAATTCTCTCTAATCAGGCTGACGTGTGTTGTGGTACGAAGCACGAAGTATACAGCAACTCACCCTGCGGCAAGAAACCAATTAATCGCTGAAATGGAGTTTCCATCTCCTTGCTGTGGCCTTCTTGTGGTCTACTCGCTTCCAAAGAAGTTAAGAACATTCCAGCAGAAGCAAATGCAAATGAAAACTGAAGACTAGGGGGCAGAAAAGTTGTAAGCTAAAAGCCATCAAGGAAGGAAAGAATTTCAAATTTGGAGTCAAGGATTTATTCTTGACAGTAAGACCTGATTATGACAGAGTTTTTTTTCTTTGAAAGGAGGAGGCACGTCCCAAGGGCTACAAGAGTCCTTTCTACTCATATATGTCAAGCTATGCGAGTAATTCAGTCCTGCTCTTGAGCCTTACCTCCAACCAGTCTTTGTTTACTCTGCTCAGTAGATAGATCAAGTCTCCCTTCTTGAAGCTGAGTTCCAGTTTATTGGTTCCAGAAAAATCAAACAGTGCCTATGGAAAGGAGTAACACTGAAATGGTTAATTCACAGAATTACAAGCATGAATCTTTCTTTCTGCTCTGCTCTTGGGGTGAAAGCCTAAAGCAACATGATCGTACGCATTTTGTCATCACAGATGTATTTCTGGGGTAAGATCATCTCTATGACTGTGGTCTGCCATTCTCACAAGTTCTTCTGCTCAGCACACGCAAAAATGCTCTGAAGAAGTAGTGAAAGCACTGAGAGGGCTACGTGCTGGGGTTCTTAAAGTGACAGGACACTGAGCACCAGAGAAATAAAGAAGTTGAAAGCACTTGAGAGCAAGTAAATCAACAAAGTTGAAGGCAATTGCCAATCTGAAAACTTGAAATCCCGAGAATTGAAAAAATAGATATTATTTCTGGTTGCAGCCTTACAGCTTTCAGATTTGCT